GGTCTTCTGCAAGAACAACCAGTGTTCTTAACTGCTGAGCCATCTCGCCAGCCCCTATTATCACTATTCTTATTTGTGGAGGTCTTAAAGTTTCAGTACTAGCATGTTTTAAATTGTATTAAAAAAAAAAAAAACCTGCACTTTTTCCAATCACATTCTTTTAAATGGTAGTTTTTGTTCAAGAGAAAGCATTAAAAAAAAAAAAAATTCTATTACTGTGAATACCAATGGTAAAAAACAGGTTGAATAATGCTTTGCCATTATCACCAAAAAGTCTTTGTATGTCTATATAACTATCTAGTAAATTAAACCCATTTTAATTGTGTACATTTTTTAAAAAAAGACGTTACACCACAATTTACAAAAGGGATTTTATGCTTTCATGAGTCAAGAATTCAATCTACTAAATGGCTAGGCATTTATTATATTTGTAATAATGTTTTTAAAAATGCAAACCTGAATGAAGGCAGATGTGCGTTTTGCAGGGTCCCACAGAAATTCAACTGCATTTAACTGGCTTGGATTTGTCCTTGTGTCAATTATCCCCACAGACATTGGAATATCTGCATGTTCAAAAACAAGTTACAAAACAATGCATCCATTTTAAGTAATTAAAAGACTTACAGTTTGAGCTGGGTGTGGTGGCACACTCAAGTGAGTCCCATCTACTCAGGAGGCTGAGGTAGGGGAATGGCTTGAGCCCAAGAGTTCAAGCCCAGCCTAGGCAGCATAGTAAAACCCCATCTTGGAAAAACCAAAACCAAAACAAAACAAGTAACAAAAACAAAACAAACAAACAAACCAAAAAAAAACCAAAAAAACAAAACAATAAAACTTACTATATTATGTTCTATGGAAATAATTACATCCATGTTGAACTTTTCCTTCAACGTTCTTCGTAGTCAACCTTGTCTTCAATATCAAAATCCACCTAACAAGAATCACAGTTTCTCCTACCATGGTTTGTATTTCATTTCATTAAGAATATGATGGATGGTGCCAATTGGGAATTAAAATAGTTTCAAAATCATAAAATCCTGGTTGAGGTTAGTTTAGCACCAAAAAACTACTTCACTTTTCAAGCATAAAACAATTCTCAAGAAACAAAACCTACTAACACCAAAGCTTTATCCACACAATTACTTTTACATGGTGCCAACACGTCCATTATAGCTACACAGCACCTTCATCTCCATGGTCTTTTGACGGCCACCTGTACCTAAATCGAGAAGTCTGTCTCCTGGGCGATTCCACTTCCAACCTTCAAGCTGCTGATGCTCTGTATACTGTAGCCGTCTGTCGTGGAACACAACCCTTATGATGCTCTATGAAGCAGGAAGAAAATAAGTACATTTAAACTACTCTAGGTAAAAGGTAGAGACATTTTCATTTCTTATTAGCCACCAATACCAGGTGAGCATACAAAAACAGATTTATCAGATTCTCCTCAAAATATTCCTTCTGTGAAGTTGGGCATGGTGGCTCGTACCTATAATCCCAGCCCTTGGGAGGCTGAGGCCAGCCAGGCTTACATACACAGTGAGTCCAAGGCCAGCTTGGATTATTATATAGTCACACTTTGTTTCCAAATAAGAAAAGAAATCCCCACTGTGAACTTTTCTGTTCTTGGATACCTGGTTTATGATAAATTTATTTGGTATAAAGAATTACAACAAAATCAAGCAGCACAAATTTAAAAGGTATACATTTTATAAAAGAATGTGATACTGCACTTTTAAAAAAAAAATTGCTCCGGGCGTGGTGGTGCACGCCTTTAATCCCAGCAGTCGGGAGGCAGAGATAGGCGGATCCTCTGTGAGTTCGAGGCCAGCCTGATCTAGAGAGTGAGTTCCGGACAGCTGGAGCTACAGGGAGACCCTGTCTCAAAAAGACCAAAAAAAAAAAAAAAAAAAAAATCAATGTATATGCCCATAAAATTAATAAGAATTATTATTTTGGGAGGAGGGTGCTTTTTGAGACAGGATTTTCCTATAGCCCCAGCTAGCCTGGAACTCACTATATAGACCAGGCTAGCCTCAATCTTACAGAGATCACTGCTTCTGCTTTCTAAGTACTGTGAATTACATTTCTATTAAGAAAATGCCAGCTGTACACAAGAATTATAGAAAATGAAAAGATACTATAAATAGAGATAAAAGAACTCCAGACACAACAGTAAACGGTATTAATTTTAAATAATTCTTGGTATAACAACTTGTGCCTGCAATATGAGCACTCTGGAAACTAAGGCAGGCAATCTTAAGTTTGAGGCCAGCATGATGTACCTATCAAGACACTGTCTCAAAAGTAACAATAACAATCACTCTGAGTTTCTTTAAAGAGACAGGCTTGTAAGATTGCTCAGTGATGCCAGGCATGGTGGCACACACCTTTAATACCAGCACTTGGGAGGCAGAGGCAGGCGGATCTCTGTGAATTCAAGGCCACCCTGGTCTACATAGTGAGTTCCAGGACAGCTGGGGCTATAAGGAGACCCTGGCTCAAAAAGACAAAAAAAAAAAAAAAAAAAAAAAAAACCCAAAGAAGAAAGACTTACCGTTGGCCCACACATAAAAAAAAAAAAAAAAAAAAAAAAAAAAAAAAAAAAGCCCAGTGAATAAAGCACTTGCTGTGAGCCCAACACCCTAAATCCAATCCCAAGAACCCATGCCAAGGTGGCAAGAGAGAACAGACTCATAAACACTAATAAGAAAATAAATCAATTTAAAAAATTTAAAAGACAGTCGTTCTAGCTGGGCCTAGTGGAACAACGCCTATAATTCTTACTATTTGGGAAGCTAGAGGATCACAAATATGAGGCTAGCTAGAGTGAGTTCAAGGTCATCCTGCGCAACCTAGTAAGACCCTGTCTCAAAATTTAAAACTAAAAAGTGGAGCCAGGCATGATGGCTCACATCTGTAATCCCAGCACTTTTAAGACAGGTAGGACGATCACCACAAGTAAGTTTCAAGCCAGCCTGAGCTACATAATGAGTTCTAGGCCATCCAAGGATCCATAGTAAGACCCTGTCTCAAAACAAAAAACAAAAAGAACCCAACAAAACAAAACAAAAAACTAAGGGGTGGGTGTAGGGGTCTTAAAGTAGAAGATATGCAAGAAAACTGGAAGGGAAAAAACTATTAATTGGAGGTTCTGGTTAAAAGGAAACTCCATCTATAAACCTAGGAATAGATAAAAGGACAACCAATACAGCAAAAACCAGGATAGCAGAGCCCAGAGAGGAGGGGCATGACTATAATCCCAATGCTTCAGCGGCTGAGGCAAAAGGATTAGAAACTCCAAGTCAGCCTAGGCTACAAAGTGAAACAATCATTCATAAAAAAAAACAAAAACACCAAGCAGAGAAAGAGAAAGCACATCAGCAAGCATGTTTGCACAAACAAGAACTTCCAAACACCTCTGACATAGCATTCAGTTCCCCCAAATTTCAGTTCAACAGTCAAAGATCATAGGGCTAGTAGATAAAACTTAAAGGCTGTAGTGTAGCCAGATGAAAAAGCCAGTGAAAGATATCTCCAATGAACTCATTCTAGTCCTTGCTCTGTTCTAGCTCCCAGAGAACAACAAAATCAGACGTGGTTTATTAGATGAAAGGTGAGCTAGAAGGAAAACGTTTTAAAACAGACTGTTATCAGCACACTAATGTTTACATAAACTGCTATGATGTCAGCAGAAGGGATCTCTCTGGCCGGTTTCCTAGGTGACAGCTCATTAGCTCCTGAACTGTCAGGGTTGCCTTCCTTTTTCACTTGACTTAATCTTATATAGTATTTTCTTATGTTTTAACTTGAAAGTGAATCCAAGGATTCAACAACTTAACACGATTAACCCTTAACTTAATCTGAAGGGCATTTTAATTAGCTTGCCAAAAAGCCATTTTTTCTTTTTTTAAATTTTTATTTAATTTTTCATTTTTGGTCTTTTTATAGCCCCAGGTGGCCTGGAACTCACTATGTAGACCAGGCTGGCCTTGAACTAACAGAGATGCACTTGCCACTGCCTCCCAAGTGCTAGGATTAAAGGTATGTGCCACCATGCCCTGCTGCCAAAAGCATTTTAAAAAGAAGTTGCAGCTATCTATCTGACTAGCTATTTCTTTTTTTTTAAATGTGAATGTGTGTATTGCCTGCATGCAGGTAAGTGCACCCATGTTGTACAATGCCCATGGAGGACAGAAGAGGCTGTCAGATCCCCTGGAACTGGAGTTACAGGCAGTCGTTAGCTGTCATGTGGGTGCTGGGATTCGAACCTGGGTCTTCTGTAAGACCAATCAGTGTTCTTAACCACTGAGTCATCTCTCCAGCCCATGACTACCTATTTCTAAATCAAGGAACTGCTTTAAAAGGCAGTTTTTACTGATAAATGACAAGTGTATCAAAATAGATTTTTTTCAGTGCTTTGCTGGAAATTCAATTTTCAGCTTTTGGTGTGCATATCAGTTATATCTTCCTTGGAATACCAATGGTCTTGAAGGATAAAATGAGCTAAAAACATGAATTACTAAATTGTATAACCCAACACACACATAAAGAGCAAAAGAGCATGGGTAGTGGGGGTTACCTGAGGTTGCAGAGACAGCTCAGCAGTTAAGAGCACTTATTGCTTATGGCAATGGATGCTGGTTCAAGTCCCAGCACCCACATGGTGGCTCACAACTGCCTGTAATTCTACTTCTAAGGCATCTGACCTCTTCTGGCCTCTGACCCTTCTGGCTCCTGCATGTATATGGTGCACACAAACTCATGCAGGTGCACACACACACAAAAATCTTAAAAAAAAAAAAAAAAAGGAGCACAAGGGAGAAATAGGTGAAACAAGACTGGGCAACTGTTGGTAGCTGTTTAAGCCGGCAAGAGACCTTCCCATGAGCACTCAATATAGACACCAATGCAGTTTTCATCTGATGCCACATAGTAGATATGTGTGAATTCACTGCATCATTCTTCGACCTCTGATGTGTTCCAATTTTACAAAAATTAAAAGCTAATAAGCCAGACCTGGTGCATAGGTCAGTAATCTCAGCTACCAGGGAAGCTAAGGCAGAAAGATTATACATTCAAGGCTTGTGAGGGCTACAGAGGGAATTCAAGGCCAGTTTACTGGGATTGTCACATGAAGCCCTGGATTCAATCCTCAAGCACCTGCATATACCCAGTATAGTGGCATACCCACAATCCTAGCACCGGGTAGTAGAGACAGAAAGGTAAGAAATTTAAGGTAAACCAGACATGGTGGCACTCGCCTTTAATTCCAGCACTTAGGAGGCAGAGGCACTCAGATCTCTGTGAGTTCAAGACCTGGTCTACATAGTGAGTTCCAGGACCGCTGGGGCTAGGGAGAGCCTGTCTCAAAAAAAAAAGAAAAGAGGGGAGGGGAGGGGGGAGGGGGAAGGGGAGAGAGGAGAGAGGTAAGAGGAGGGGAGGTGGGGGGAGAGGGGAGGGGAGAGGGAGAGGGGAGAGGAGAGAGTGCAGAGAAAGAAAGAAAAAAAGAAATTCAAGGTAATCCTTGGGCTATGCGATGAATTTTGGGCCAGACTTTTAGAGGTAGTTTTAAAGGACTCAATAAGACCCCATTAAGCACTAGTTAATTTTATTACAAAATCCATAATAAAAACAAATTGTCAACCCTTTCACACTAACATTTTTTTAAAGCAGCATGCTAAAGCAAATCTAACTTTCAAAATGTCAGAAAAATGCAGTCAGATCGCCTCTTAGAAATATATATTATATATGTAAATAAAAGGATTTTTAAGGTGTTAAATGAACGTAGTTTCCTCACATTACCTTTTAAAGAGTTATGTAGGCCAGTGAGATGGCTCAGCTGGTGAGGTGCTAGCTGCCTGGTGGCCATATGAGCACAGTGGCATGCACACAATGCATCTGCACACACCCATCCCAGTAAAAAAATTTTCTTAAAAAATTTTAAAAGGTTTTATTTTTGCTTGGGCTGCTAGTGTGCTGGATAGCTTTAGTGCCAACTTGACACACCTGGGTTGAGGGAGCCTCAATTGGGGAATTGCACAATCTTCATTGGACTGGCCTGTGGCCATGTCCATGGAGCATCTTCTTGATTGGTGAGTGATGTGGGAGGGCCCACTGTGGGTGGTGCCACCCTTGGGCAGGTTGGCCTGTGTTATATAAGAAAGCAGGTTGAATAGGGGCCAGGAGAGCAAGCCAGTAAGCATCGTTCCTCCATGGCCTGTGCTCCAGCTCCTGCCTCCAGGTTCTTGCCCTGAGTTCCTACCTTGGACTCTGATGAACTGTGACCTGGGAGATGTAAGCCAAATAAACCCTTTCCTTCCCAAGTTGGTAGTGGTCAGAGTGTTTTGTCACAACAATGGAGAAACAAGGTAGAACAGGTGGTATAGGCCTTTATGAGTGTTTTGCCTACATGTAAAGGCACCTGGTGCTTGTGGAGGTCAGGAAAAGGTGCCACATCCCCTAGAACTGGAATTATAATTGTTAGCCACCATATGGTATGTGCTGAAAACCAAACTTGGGTCTGATGCAAGAGCAGCTATTAACCATAGCTCATGGTCATCTCTCCAGCAGCACCACCACTCTCTAGAATTTGCTGTGGTGATGGGTTTTGTTCCCCATAACTGCCTAGCCAATTCCTACTTCCTATTATTATCACACCATCCTCTGAAGAGGTTACCCAAATTGCCAATAGGGAATTGGGATGCAAACCGCTCTGGCTTCTTCCATGCTGAACAGGGACGCAGGGTGACAGCCTCAAAATCTTTTAATAAAAACTTTTACATCAAGATGGCTCAGAGGGTAAGGGGGTACTTGTCACCAAGGCTGACAATCTGAGTTCAATCTCTAGAACCAACATGGTAGAAGGAGTGAACTGACTCCTGTAAGCTGTCCTCTGACACGTGTCGTGGCAATGACACACACACACACTCATGCACAAATAATTTTTTAAAATCTTATGTGAGCCAGATGTGGTGGCGCACACCTTTGATCCCAGCAGAAGCAGGCAGGCGGATCTCTGTGAGTTCAAGGCCAGCCTGGTCTACATAGTGAGTTCCAGGACAGCTGGGGCTACAGGGAGACCCTGTCTCAAAAAACAAAAAAAAAAAAAAAAAAAAAAAAAAAAAAACCAAAAAAACTTACTTGAAAACTGCCACTTTATTCAATCACCATAGTATCTGCTACAAATTTAAAAGTCCTTACCTTTACCAACTTTCCACTGATCTCAGGCATATCTCCCATTTTTCGATTATCCAGCATCCGAATTTCATAAGACTGACCTAATTTAAAGAAATTACATAAAATAAACAATTCATGTAAAGAATATCACTCTTCTGCCGAGCCTGGTGGCACATGCCTTTAATCCCAGCATTTGGGGGGCAGAAGCAGGAGGGTCTCTGTGAATTTGAGGCCAGTCTCGTCTACCTGGTAAATTCTAGGACAGCGTCTACCTGGTAAATTCTAGGACAGCTGGAGCTACAGGGAGACCCTGTCTCATATTAAGACCGAAAAAAAAAAAAAAATCACTATTCTACTAAATTTAACACCTCTCACAACATATGGCTACATGACTTCAATGTCAATTGCTAGAAGCAAACTCAGGTTAATCTTTCTCTTTCTTCCCCCACTCCTCCCACCCAAATCACACTGTTCTTTTCTTCTAACATTATTATAAGACTAAAGATTTTCTTTCAATTTTACCTTTATCTGCCATTCTCTTGCACTAAATTCTTCACTGCATATATATGCATTACCTAAGATCAATTTTGTTTTTCTGAGATACTAATTTATACCATGAAATTCACTTTTTAAAAAAATATTTTTATTTTATGTGTTTGGCTGTATTGCCTGCATGCATGTGAGTGTACCCATGTCGTGCGATGCCGCGGAGGTCAGAAGAGGGCTTCGGACTCCCCTGGAACTGGAGTTAAGGACAGTTCATAACTACCATATGGGTGCTAGGAATCGAACCCAGGTCCTCTGCAAGAGCAGTCAGTGCTCTTAACTGATGAGCCATCTCCCCAGCCCCTTATGCTATTTATTTTATCTTCTCACTAACACAGATTAAAAGCTTGAAATAATCAGATGAATTTATACCTTGTGGTGGCCCACGCCTTTAATCCCAGCACTCAGAAGGCAGAGGCAGGAGGAGCTCTGTGAGTTCAAGACTGGTTTATCAATGAAACACTGTCAAAAAAAAAAAAGAAAGAAAGAAAGAAAGAAAGAAAGAAAGAAAGAAAGAGAGAAAAGAAAAGAAAAGAGAAACACTCGGGAGGCAGAGCCAGACAGATCCCTGTGAGATCAAGGCCAGCCTGGTCTATATAGTGAGTTCCATGCCAGCTGGGGCTACAGGAGACCCTGTCTTAAAAGAAAAAAAGAAACCAAAACCCATCAGAAATCACTTCCTATACACCACCCCTAATCCTACCCTTGCAACCACTAATCTACCTTTTGTCTCCAGGGATTTGGCTACTACAGACATTTCATGAAAGTAGAATCGTGTAATATATGGGGTTTTGGAGGCTGCCTTCTTTTACTTAAAGTAACTTTCTTCCTCCTTATTGCCAGATATTACTGTGTGAGCACGCCAAATTTTGTTCATTCATCAACTGATGTCTATTTTGAATTGTTTCTACTTTTTTTATGACAATGTTTTTGTGTGGATGAAAATCAATTTTTAAAAATATTTTATTTTTATTTTTCGTGTATGCCTGTACTGCATGCATGTATGTGAGTGCATTTGTGTTGTACAGTGCTGCGGAGGTCATAAGAAGGCACTGGATTCCCCTAGAACTGGAGTCAAGGATGGTTTGTAGCCGCCATGTGGGTGCTGGGAATCGAACCCAGATCCTCTGTAAGAGCAGTCAGTGCTCTTATCCACTGAGCCATCTCTCCAGCCCTGAAGAACAATTTTTAAACCTTGAATCCAAGTCACATTTGTTCACTGCTTCATTAATGTTCCCCCCCCCCAAAAAAACAATCCAAAAAACAAAAATTAAAAAACCACATAGATTTCCAAACACTGGTCTAAAAAATTAAGAATAAGCTGCTGCAAAAAAATTAGCCATGAGCTGGGTGTGGTGGCACATGCCTTTAGTTCCCACACTCGGGAGGCAGAGGCAGGCGGATCTCTGTGAGTTCAAGGCCAGCCTGGTCTACACAGTGAGTTCAGGTCATCTGGGACTAGAGGGAGACCCTGTCTCAAAAAGGAGGAAAAAAAAAAAAATTAACCATGTACCATAATCCACAAAAAATGATTTTTGGATTATTTGTCATTAATAAAAATGATAGTATTGGTACTTCATGAAGATGGGATTCTTTTTAAAAAAAAATTTTTATCTTAGCCAGGCATGGTAGCCAGGCGTGGTGGCACACACCTTTAATCCCAGCACTCGGGAGGCAGAGGCAGGCGGATCTTTGTGAGTTCGAGGCCAGCCTGGTCTACATAGTGAGTTCCAGGACAGGTGGGACTACAAGGAGACCCTGTCTCAAAAAGACAAAAAAATTTTTTTTTATCTTATGTGTATGTGTGTATTGCCTGTATGTATGTAACTGCACCCATATCATGCAATGCTCATGGAGGACAGAAGAAGCCATCAGAGTCCCTAGACTGGAGTTACCAACAGTTGGTAGCTGCCATGTGGGTGCTGGATTCAAACCCAGGTCTTCTACAAGAACAACCAGCGTTCTTAGCTGCTGAGCCATCTCTCCAGCCCGAAACCATCCCTCCGAAGATTATTTTTTGGTCTTTTTGAGACAAGGTCTCCTTGTAGCCCCAGATGGCCTGGAACTCACTAGGTAGACCAGGCTGGCCTTGAACACACAGAGATCTGCCTCTGGCTCTGGCTCCTGGCCTCTGCCTCCGTGTGCTAGGATTAAAGGCATGCGCCTCCATGCCTGGCTCAAAACTGAAACTCTTAATAACTACCAATACCCTATCCACACTCCCACTGGCCTATAGAAAGAGTTCTAGAATATATAATGATCAATAAAAGGTTATCAAAATACAACTAAATCACTTCACAACTCGTAAAAGGAAACAGCTATGCATAGTACATTATTAAGAAATATTCTTTAGGGGCTGGAGAGATTGTTCAACAGTTAAGAGCACTGGCTGCTCTTGCAGAGGACCTGGGTTTGGTTCCCAGCACCCACTTGGTGGCTAACAATCATCTATAACTCCAGTTCCAGGGGATTCAACGCCCTCTTTGGCCTCTATGGGCATTGCATGATGTAGGTGCATGCACTTTACATGCAGGGAAAACACTCATATACATAAAAATAGCTACAATGAGCTAATCCAAAATGCAGAACTGAGGTGGTAAGTCTCACTCTCATCAAGTACCAGAGACTTAGCCCTCTGATAAAGGAAATCTATTCCAATTGGATTCTACACAAAGGGAAATCTGGTTACTCCAGGTTTGAACTACAGTTTCTACACTAATGCCAAAGTCAGAGACCTAATTCTTCTTACAGATGGATATTCAGACATAAGCAGGTAAACACAGTTTTCAACTGTGTACTTTTATGGCTCCCCCACATACCAGGTAAGAATTCTTGTTCCAATTTTTACTCAATCAAGTTACTACACAGTCATGAATGTGAAAGCAAAATTATACATGAATATAATCATGTCAGCATTTGTGTTCTGCACCATTAAATGAAATAAAAATACCTGTGTTCTTAAAAACAAAAATTTTAATTAAAAAAAAAAAAAAAAAAAAAAAAAAAAGGACTGTAGAGATGACTCAGTAGTTAAGAGCGCCTTACACAGGAACACAGGAACTGTGTTTGGTTCCCAGTACCCACAAAGCAGCTAACAACCATTCAGCTATCAACCATCTGTAACTCCAGTTCCAGGGGGTCCAAAGCCCCCTTCTGACCACCCTTGGGCATTGCACACATGTGGTCCATTTACATTCATACATACAGGCAAAACGCACATACACAAAGCCCGTGGAAGCTGGATGAGAATGTCGAATCCCCTGGAACTGGAGTTACAGATGGTTGTTAGCCACCATGTGGGTGCTGGGAACTGAACCCAGATGCTCTGCAAGAGCAGCTAGTGCTCTTAACTGCTGAGCCATCTCTCCAGCCCCATCTTCCAAATTTCTTAATAATAATTACAAGTATATAGTCTAAAATTTATTGCTCAATGAATTAAAGATGTCATTTAATGACAGAAAAAAAATAATATACATGAACCTTTTACTGCACATGAACATATGTAATTCCAAATTTTGTTAAAAGAAAATCTATACATAGAAATAAACCAATGCACCACTGACTGTTATAATCAATTTTAGCTTTTAAATTCATCTTTTCAAGCTTTTCTAAGATAAGCAAGTATTGGCTTCATTATAACCCTGGCTGGCTTCAAAATCAGAGATCTGTCTGTCTCTGTTTTCCAAGTGTTAAAATTAAAAGGCATACATTTATCAACACACCCAGCCATACTCAGAATCTTAAAAATAAGAACATGCCCAGTGTGGTAGCCTTTAATGTCAGGACTCGGAAAGCAGAGGCAAGGGGATCCCTGTGAGTTTGAGGCCAGTTTGGCCTCCTACATAGTGAGTTCCAGATCAGGTGGGGCTACAGGGAGACCCTGTCTCAAAAAGACCAAAAAATAGCCTGGCATGGTGGCACATGCCTTTAATCCCAGCACTCAGGAGGCAGAGGCCAGCCTGGTCTACACAGGGGGAGTTACAGGCCAGCTGGGGCTATAGGGAAACCCTGTCTCAAAAGGACCAAAAAAAAAGCAGCATGCTCTTTTAGTATATCTATCCAACTAATTCTCTAATTCTACGTATTCAAACAGCTAAGAGTATCTCAGAAAAAAGTCCTTTCCAAAGGTAAACTCCAGGCAAGATATGAGTAGATACAATTTTATATAATTTATTTAACCACTGACTCCATCTCAGCACAGCTTATATCTATTTTCAGCACAAATCTGTCTCATGTCCAAAACCCAGGTGGCTAGCTGAACTTCTGATTCATTTTCAAGTTCCACTGTCCCTAAAAATAACTGACAACCTTTCCTACTTGCTCCGCCTTTAGATGAAAAACCCTGCATTAAATCTTGCTCCACACCTTCTTCAATGCAAATCAGTTTTGACAAACTATTACTCTGTTGACTCACAGAAAAAAGTACTACAGCTTTTGCTAACTAAATTTGTACAATTTAAGAACCCAATTTTTAATTATTACCAGCAATTCTGATTACAATACCAAAACATTTCTTTTCAATTTTTGTAGATTTTTTACCTATCAAGATATGACAAAATACTAACCTTGGTTTAAGTAAGTAAGAGTCTCATCGTGTAGTTTCACTGCTGGTGAAGTGGCAGCACACATCACATACTGAAAGGGGGGGTGTTTAGCCTCACCATCCAAGGAAAGGCTGGAATCTTCCTGCTTGAAAATGGGCAATGCCAACACATCACTGAAAAGCAAAATATCAAAAGTGACCTTACTTTGGGTCTACAATATTTGAAAGCATATAAATGTTTATACATTTATGGATCATTCTCTCCCCACCCCCATGCTGGGAATGGAACCCAGCACTGTGCACATGCTAGGTAGTCAAGGGATAGTTTCAATTATAATTTAAGCTCAGAAATAATCGGTAGAATAAAAGAACTATTAATGCCAATTTGGCTCATCTAAAAGATAGTATAAGTAACCCATTTCTCAAATGGGGATGGAGGGCATGAGGAGGAGACAAAAAAGGAAAGTTGAGACTGGGCACTTGCCTAACATACACAAAGCCCTAGGCTCAACAAATACCCAAAATCACCACCAAAAACAAACAACCACCACCAACAAAAATACTCTGGAAATTTTTTCTTTTAAAATCAGTAAGCAGTGACTAGGGATATAGTTCAGCTGGTAGGACCTGGGCTACATGAGACCCTGTCTCAATAAAATAAATAAGAATAATTACAAATTAAATCAAATCAATAAACTCCACATTATTTCCATTTAAATAAAGAGCAAGAGTGGATAGCCTATTTTGCTGCCAAAGGTAGGTCACACTGGCACCACCAAGTTACAAAGAAGCAAACATCTGAATAAAATGGCACTTAACAAAAAGTTCCCCAAAAGGCCTGGCTATGCTGAGAACATAAAGCTTCAGAGTCTCAGTCTAAAACAATGGCTTGTGCAAAGCAAATTGTCAATAGGAACAGCTGTTCTTTTCCTTCCAGGAATAATCTGCAGCCTGACTGGGAAGGGCATTCAGGGGTCTTCTGGGACTCTGTCTATATTCTGTTAGCCTTATGGTTAAACACACCTGGTTATGTTCGGTTTGCTTTTATTGGTGTTTAACAGCATTACTGATATCTATAAAGTGATCTTTTAAAAATGTGTTAAATTCCCAGTATTCCATAAACTAGTCACAGTGGCTCATACCTGTAATCCCAGAAGAACAAGGTCATCCTTGGCTACAGTCAGTTTAAAGCCAGCTTGGGCTATACAAGATCCCAACTTCAAAAAAAAAAAATTCCTCTCTGTCCAATAGCAGTGACTCACCATGCTGACACCCACCCAACAGTAATCACTGGCTTACATTCTGTCTCCACTAACCTGTGTTTTCTAGACATTTAATGCCAATGGAATCATACATTTTATATATATTGTCTCCCATGAAGGGTTTGTTTCACTTAGCATGTTTTCAGGTCCATCGTGATATAGCATGGACCAGGACTCCTCTCCTTCCCTCAGCTTTATGACACCATATGGGCAGAACACATTCTGCATCTGTTCTGATGAATGTTTAGGCTGCTTCCCTATTTTAGCTATCATGAATAATGTTATGAACACATTTTCAAGCTTCTGTGCAGACATGATTCACCTCTTCTTTTGTATGCAGATACCTCAGGAGAATTACTGGACCATGTAGCCAAATGGTTTTTCAAAAGCAGCTGTACCACTTACATATCCATCATTAAAACATGGAGAGTAATTATTTATTTGGTTTTTTTCCCTTAATTTTTAAAAGATTTATTTTATTTTTAATTATGTGTGTATGTCTGTGTGGGTATGCGCATGTGAGTGTAGGTGCCCATGGAAGCCAGAAGATTCTGATCCCCTGGAACTGGAGTCATACATGGTTGTGATCTGCCTTGAGTAGGTGCTGGGAATGGAACTCAGGTCCTCTGCAAGAGCAGCAAGTGCTCTTAACCACAGAGCAGTCTCTCCAGCCCATTTTATTTTTTTGATGCAAGTTCTCATGTAGGCTGACTTCGAACTCACTATGTAGCCAAGGAATTATCTTGAACTCTTGATCCTCCTGCCTCTACCTCCCAAGTGCTAAGATTATGGGCATGTACCACAGAAGTGCTAGATGTAATATATAAATACATAAAGATAATTTGTTATTCAAATTCCCATTAACTTTTTTTTTGAAACAGCATCTTGCTATGTAGTCCAGAATAACCTCAAATTCACAATCTTCCTGCTGCCTAGCCTCCTGAGTGCTGGGATCACAGGTATGTGTTACCTGGCCCCAATTTTTTTCCCTTAATTAAAAATAAAATGTGGGCCAAGAGTGGTAGCACATACCTTCAATCTCAGCACTTGGAAGGTGGATCTCTGTGAGTTTGAGGCCAGCCTGGTCTACATAGCAAGTTCCAGATCAGCTGGGGCTACAGGGAGACCCAGTATCAAAAAAAAAAAAAAAAATATTGTGGGCTGGGAACGTGGCTCAGTGGCAGAACACATGCCTAGCATGTGCAAGGCCCTAGGTTCAGCCCTAGATAGAAGAAGAGAGAAAAGGCAGACAGAACAGGGTATGCTAGTAATTCCAGCATTCACAAAGTTGAGGCAGGAAGACCCCCAGTTTGAGGTTGATCTGGACAACACAGTGAGACAATATATTCCAAAAGAAGAAGACTATGTATTCCAATTAAGGCAGAAAACCAGAATCAGATCATTTCATTCCTCTAAACTCTCCATTGGCTGGCTTTCAACCAGGGTCCTTACAAAAGCACAAGGCCCAACCCACTGTGCTTCTCACATCAACCTCCCAGTACACCTTTTTTAGGGCCATTCACTGGCTCTGCTCTTCTACTGGATTCCCAAACAACGAGGGTTCCACACACACACACACACACACTCTCTCTCTCTCACTCACTCACTCACTCACTCACTCACTCACTCACTCACTCACTCACTCACTCACCGTGCTCCATCTACAGCTCTGGTCACTTCCCAGTACAGGTGATCTTTTAAGTTTGTACCCTCCTAAATATAACCACCTCCAAATGTGTTTCTTCACTTACTATCTAACATAAAGGAGCCAAAATATTTGTTGAATCAATTAAATACTTACAACATTAATAATCAATTCTTACAAAATGGAAAAGTAGGTCTCCAGACAATTCAAGATTCTGTATGTTGTATATGAGTGCCAACAGTCAATAGCCTTTGTAATCCCATAAATGGAAACAGACTTTGAATATTAAAGACAGATTCTTAAACTAAACTAAGTAAATTTCTTTCTTTAATTTACACGTAAAATTATACATATTTATGGAGCAGTGTGTGATGTTTCAAATAAGTGGAACATTTCTAAATAAAATACATAATGGAAGCTATAGCAGGTTTAATCCTGTAACTTCCCAGCCTCAAAATACATAAAACCAGATGAAGTATTTTGTAAGAAAAGCTGAAAGATATACATGGTAGCAAATTTTAACTGAGGTTAGCACCAAAAGTTGTGACTTAAAAAAACCACAATGAAGCAGGCATGGTGTGGCATGCCTGCAATCCCAGCACAGACACAGGATCAGAGTTCAAGGTTACTCTTTAGCCATGTATAGATATGAAGGCCAGCGTAGCCTACAGGAGACTGTGTCTCACAAAATAAACAAATATGCCTGATGTGGTAGTACAAACCTGTAATCCTAGCACTAGAAGTAGAAGCAGAAGAGATCAGTCATTCAAGACCAGCCTTGGCTACACAGAGAGTTTAAGGCCAGCCTGAGCTGTGTGAGACCCTGTCTCAAAAGAAAAAATGAAGAAGAAAAAAGAAAACCGCCACAAACTTGATCAAATGAATATGTGAAGAACTAAAAGGACACTAAAAATCCAGTGATGCCAGCTGCCTTCCAGGACAACTGGCCCCTGGGAGACACCAATGCACTGCATATCCTTTCATAGCTCTAAAAGGCAACTGTAAGAATGTGTTGAGTTTGGGTCTGGAGAGATGGCTGAGTGGTTAAGAGCACTGGCTGCTCTTGCAGAGTACCTGGGTTTGATTCCCAGCATCCACATGGTGGCTAAGAACCATCTGTAACTCCAGTTTCAGGGAATCTGACGATCTCTTCTGACCTCTGCTGGCACTACATGATGCAGGTGCACTTATGTACATGCAGGCAATACACTCATAACACATAAAATAAAATATCTGAAAAAAAGAATGTGTTAGATTTCAAAAATCAAGTTAAAATTTGATGTCTTCTTAATGATAAGAAGGTAACAAAAACATTCGGATAAGTGAAATTCTAAAGGATTCCAAAGACAAAAGGCTGGCTAGATGGTTCAGTGGGTAAAGGTGCTTGCTATGCAAGCCTGCAAATCTGAGTTCAATGCCCAGAACCCAAATGGTGAAGGAGACGGTCAGGCTCCCCAAAATTGACTTGTACATGCACCACACACACAAATAATAAAACGTAGCTGGGCGTGGTGGCACACACTTTTAAACCCAGCACTCAGGAGGCAGAGGCAGGCGGATCCCGGTGAACTCAAGGCCAGCCTGGTCTACATAGCAAGTTCCAGGCCAGTTAGGGCTAAAGGGAGACCCTGTCTCAAAAAATAATAAATAAATAAATAGACCCTGTCTCCAAAAATAAATAAATAATAAAAATCCCTTTAAAAGTTTCAAAAGAATAAAACCAAGATGGAAATAACAGCATAGAGACCTGAACGAATAGATCAACCTTTACCCACTCACCTCTACTAAGAATGAGAAAGAGCAAATAGTTGGAGGCAGAAGACCACCAGTGCTCCAGAAACTACAGAGTTCCAGGCAGCAAGGGCAGGGGGCGGGAGGGGGGCGCAGGCAAGCAGGTGCGCAGCCCTGCACTATCACATTATTCTTTTTAAAAGAACTCTTCAGTTCAGGATTGCCTAACAATCCTATAGGCTGAAATCTAGGCAAAGTGCAGTAACCATGAACAAGCCTGCAATTCAAGATAGCCTCTCACCAAAGGGCACTTTTCCAGTCTGAGGAAAGAATCACAGAACTACATTGTGATTTGGGTGGCCTTATGGGTCTAGCCCCTACCCCGAGTTGAACTGGACAGGAAAGAGCCAAGGACATGGGTGAAGGAACTGAAAGGAAGCTTTTATAAGGATGTCTGTCCAGGAACTGCTAAATTTGGACTAAGGTGCCCCCCCCCAGGTAGAAAGTACGCCCAGGGGTCTGACAAGCAAATGAAA